AATTTAGCTTAGATTGCTTCCTTTTACTAAGGCCAATCTTGCCTTTGATGACATTTGGTAGTAGATCGTGATTCATAATCATCATTCATAATCTCATGAGCAATTGAGAATGCAAAACCATCATTGATGATTATCTCATTTCGATCCCAAATTTCATTTTAATATGTAATAGAGATCTTAATATTTTCAAGGTTAGTGATCTTTTCATGGGTTTGTGCCTCTTCAGGGGCAATAGGCTCTTTGAGAGCAAGCTCAATACTAAGCTCTTCTGGAACGGATTCTTGATTCCTCCGCTTTTATTTTTGAAATGTAGTGTCTTTTGATCCTATCAGTCTTTCATGTTTCAAGCACAGGCCATTTTGATCCATTTTAGCCTATCTTTTAGGAAAAACAATCCTAGCCACATAGCCAAAATATGAGACTTCGTGACCTTGATAGTATCATTAAATGTGTAAGGAAATCTATTAGTAATAGCCTATAAATGGATTATACACTGCACCTCATTTTCACAATTATGAGTTCTTGGGTTTAAATGGGATAGATTTTTCTCATTCCAATAGAAATTCTCAATTGGTTTCTGCTTCTCAACCATGAAAGCCTTAGGTACCTAATTGATGGAATCACTATCTCATCGAAACAACAATTCACGAATCTGACGATAAAAAGATCATCCGTTGTTGGTTCCAAGAATTTAATAATGGATGGTGAATCAAACCCAACGTAAATGCCTAAACGGAGTTGAGGACCCATTCTAGTCCTTTTTGGCAGTGCTACTAGTACATATACAACTTAACCAAAGGAATGTAAATGTGAAATGTCTAGTTCATAGCCTAAAACCAACTACATGGGAGATTGTAAGAGATTAGTAGTGGGGTGCAATCTAATTAGTGCCGTTCCATGCAAAACATAGTGACCTCATGCTGTATAGTTAAGTTTGTCCTTAACAAAAGAGTATAAGCCATAGTTTGGTGTTTTTAACCAAGGATTCTGCCAATCCATTCTGTATATGAATATGTGGAACTGGGTGCTTAACCTCGACTCTCAGTGAAACAGAATATGCATTAAAGCTCTTTGACGTAAATTCACCAACATTATCCATCCTCATGCTCTTGATTAGATAATTAAGAAAATGTGCCTCGAGCTTTATAATCTACACAAGTAAATGTGCAAAAGTGACACTGCGTGTACATAACAAGCAAACATGGGACCATCTGCAAGATGCGTCTACTAATACCATAAAATATTACAATAGCTCACTTGTCAGTTGTATTAATCTACAAATATCACCTTGAATTCTTTGCAAGAATGAAGGGGATTCAAGATTAACCTTTTTTATTGGAGGTTTAATAATGAGCTTTCCTTGTGAACAAGTTTCATAAGTATAATCCTTGGACAACAAAACCTTTTTATCCTTTAAAGGCTATCTTCTAGTATTTTGGATTATCTTATGCATCATTGTAGATCTTGGGTGACTTAGGCAATCATGCAAAAGTCCAAACTCATCAGGATTTACCAATCTCTAGGACATGGTAACATAGGATTTAATAGCTCTAATAGTGACATAATACAATCCTATAGTTAAAACTTCTAGATTCTTATGGATGGTCTTTTAGCCCATCTTATAAAAGGTGATATAGATACATTCCTTATTTTGCTCATAAAATATCTCAAGATGGTACCCATTACGGTGCACATATTTGAAGCTAAGTAGATTCCTCTTCAATCTACCACTTAGCAATGCATCCTTAATATGTAAGGTGGTGCCATTTGGTTGAACAACTGTGGCATTCCCAAAGCCATCAATAATCTCAATAAGGCTTGATATTGTATGGACATTTGCTTTACGCAATGTCACACTTGAGAAAAAATGCTTGTCACAAAGTATGGTATTTGTTGCTGCACTATCAAGCAAACACACATGTTTATTTTTTTTTATGGTTCCCATTTGCTCTTGTATTGACAACTTTATGTGTCGAGTATCATAAAAATTAGTAAATTAGTCATGGGACTGAAAATTTCAAATAATAAATATGGATTCAATTTCATAATAATTTTATTAAATGATCATATTGTTCTTCCTTGGGAACAATTAACTAAGGGTAATACATTTAGAAAAAGAAAAAAATTGAGGAAAACATTAAAATCTTTAGATCCTAAGTTTGAGCTATCCTTCATCATTTTGATGCCTTATCTTAGCTATCGAGGTCTTTGAAAAAATCAAAGACTTTCAAAGATTTCTTGCTTTTACAAGAGCATGGGGAGTCATTTTAATGAAGGTATATTAGTTTCAACGTTGGTCATAGTAGTAGAATTCTCAATGGCGTGAGTATTAACACGCTTGCCTTTATCCTTCAAGGATGCTTAGTATAGATCAGAAAAGTGTTTTGGGGTACGACATGTATGCGACCAATGTCCAACCATGCCACAGTGATGGTGGATACTTTCATCATCTTTCTTTACAGGCTTCTTACCTTTCCTATGATTTGGGCCAAGGTTGGATTGCTTAGGGCGGTTAAGTCTTCTGCCACCCCTACATGGGTTATGCCTTTGCCTGGATTCACGGCCCCTTAAATCAGTCTGAATTCTTACTAAAGCTAGCATTTGCAAGAAGCAATGTTTTTGAGCCAACAAGTCTAAGATCATGATTCTTGAGCAGTAGTTCATTAATCTGCGTTGTAGTCAAGAAGACAAAAATCAACTCCGAGTATGTCTTAAATTGGCGCTGCCAATATTATTGTTGTAATACAATATTTAAAGCATGGAAGGTGGAAAAAGTTTTCTCTAATAGCTCCGATTTAGTGAGCTTAACACCGCATAACTTTAGCCAAAAAACAATATCAAATAAGGTTGAGTTGCAATTGGATATTGATTTGAAGTTTTGTGAAGATCAATGTATTTGCTTTATTTTTGTCATTTGCTTTCCTATCTATAATAATTGTATTAGCAAGACCTTCCCCTTGGAGATGTATCTCCACATCAAGGCACCAAGATAGATAATTGCTTCAACTCACTTCCAAGATATGGAACTTAGGCTTTTCGATATTTGCCATAATTTTATGTACAAAAAACATACCCATAAATTGTTTATGAAAACTATATGGCCCACTATAGCTTTAGGGTATGGAGGGATGCTATAGGTCTGTTGTCAGCTTTAGGCCAACTGAATGGTGTACAAAATCAAAATCTAATTGATTGATGAAAAATCAAGAAAATTACCTCCCCTTTTGGTGATCGTGTTGATAATGTGTTGCAAAAGAAATAATAGAAACAAGAAAAAAAGAGAGATATTGAGAGAATGCTCTTTATATATTATTGAAGCAATGCTTGGAATGACAAACAATTGTGATACCAATGAGGGTGGGGCGAATCCTTATTTATAGTTGAAGCCTTTTACAGATCTATGACTATCATAATATCCTACTAAGATACATCTCTAAATTACATTATTTTCTTGTTAAATCCCACATCATTACCTAGATAATATCCACATGTAAATGAATCTTAAAATATCTAGAATGTGGAATATATTTATCATTTATCAAATTTACTCTAATTTGAATTGATTTAATATAGTGTGATATGTTACGTTTCAAAAAAAAAAATATAGTGTGATATGTCCACATTCCATAACAAAATTTTCTTTAACTTAGTATATGTACATATGTATATATATGTCTTTTGACTTGCTATATTATGATAAAATTTGGCCCAATTAGTAGTGGGCAGCAATCAGTTGCAACCGATGGTTCGACTTGATGGTTGCTCTCGCCACTGTCGACTGTAACAATCGGCCTCATTGATCGATCAATTGAATCGTTAGGGGGAACTTTGTCCCCTTGAACTGACCGAACAATCGACTCCTTTTTCTGTTTTTTCTATTATTTTTGGGGGTTAAAGAAAGTAAGCACTACTATTGATCTTGTTTACATTAAATAGCTCACATAAGCCCTACCAAGGCTATAACTTATACGCACATGGCTAGAATACAAACCCAAACAAAGCATCAAAGCATCGTCGTTTTAGTTTTACCTCGAAGAAAAACCTTTCAGTCCAAATGGGTTAATGTAGGTTTGACAAACTTGTTTGACTTGTGAGTTTCTTTGTTGGAATTCAAAACTTAGTTCCTTGGCAGTCGCAAGACTGATTTGTCTCAAGTGATTATGTTCTCTCATTGCCTTAATTTCAATTCCCATGTTTTGTTTTATAGCAAATTTTTTTTTCGTGGGAGAGACAAGGTTACGACCTTTCTAACTATGAAACTTTTTTACATTCGTCAAAAGAACCCATCGATGTTATCTCTCAGATTATTCTCCATCACTTTAAATCAACAGCAATTTTTTACAGTTTCTTATCTCATTAACACTTGTTGATTGTCTTCGGAATCTACTTTGTATGCCTCTAAAATTGTTTACTTTAAAATCCCAAATAAGCCTGACTTTGTTTTTATCTTTTTCAAGAACCATGATTTCTAAAAAACTCAAATTGCAAGTATTTCCAAAAGAAGGCCAATGTTATTTTTATATGATGTTGAGAAAATCCTTTTTATTTAAAGTTGAGTCTTTTTACTCTGAAAGTGTTACCCACAATCGAATCGAAATCAATTTTAACTGATCGTAACCATCTCATATATGTGATTTAATTAAGTCAATTTATTAAATAAAGCTTTTTAATTGATTTTTATCAGAACCAAACCAAAAATCGATTAAACCAAACCGTACTCACCCCTATGCCCAATACAAGATTTAATTGGACTTCCTGCTTTGTACCAACATACAATCTGTTGTCCCGGAACCAAACCCGAAATGTAGAAGAAAGCCAACACACCAAGGCTAAGTTACGCAAGCGAAACACGTTGGCGAGGCTCCCAAGGTTGCGTGCATGTACGCCAGATGTGATAAATAAATCTAACATATTTTTCACTTGGCGAACGCTGGAAGTCTAATCCAATGATTAGATCCCAATTAATGACTCCCCACATCCAACCCCTGCCCCTATAAACTTACAAAGCCCACGACATCCCTCTCATTCTGTGTCTTCTACTCTCCATCCTCTGCCCATGGCCGTCTCTCTCTCCCCTATTCCCCCTAAACCTCCCTTCTCTCTCCTATAATACAATCCCATTCCCCACTTCCCTATCCAGTCGATTTCTTCTTTTGAAACTTCACCTTCAATCTTCAAAGCAATTTCCTTCCACTTTCCTTTCTCTTTTCCCGATTGGTTTAGTAAATAAGCTTCTTTTATCAATAGTTTGAGAATTCTGATTTCTTCATATATGTATACACGGGGGACATGAATTGCTGTTCTTTTGTAAGCTTGGGTATGAGCCGGCGGATGATTTTCTTCTATTTCTAAAAAAAACCCTTATTCTGCTGCCCAATGGCGATCGTCACAGGAGATCGCTACCTCGAGAAGCTGGTCAAATTCGTTGACGAGGAAGCGGGGGCTTTGATTGAAGGGGCAAAGGTGCTGAAGCTCAACCCGGCGGGGCTCCACTACGTGCAGTCGCGGCTCGAGGCGTTGCAGGAGCTCGAGAGACTTCTCGCGGGAGCTCCGGTTGACTATCTACGTGCCTACGTGTCGGATCTTGGGGACCACCGTGCTCTCGAGCAGCTTCGCCGGATTCTACGGCTCCTAACGACTCTTAAGGTGGTATCTGCCTTGCCCCCTCCTGCACGTGATCCCACACCGCTCTCGCTGCTGCCGTTTGGAAGACTTAAGGTTCTGGAACTTAGGGGGTGCGATTTGTCAACGTCAGCAGCCAAAGGATTGCTTGAGTTGAGGCATACTTTGGAGAAGATTATTTGTCATAATTCAACTGTGAGTCTCTTTTTAAGCTGAATATGCAAATTTCTTTGGGTGTTTTGCATTTACTTTCAAAAATAATAATAATTAATTCATTATTCTCTCTTTTGTTCTTCCTAAGTACCATTTAATGCTTTTACGGCTGGGTTCTGTGAACAAATTTTCTTCCCCAATTTTTATTTAATCAACAGTTGGTGAATTAGTTTTGGAAACTTGAGAAGATTTTATGGATTATGATTGTCCCCCGAAATTATGTAGGATGCTTTGCGACATGTGTTTGCCAGTAGAATTGCTGAGATAAAGGGCTCTCCACAATGGAACCGGTTGTCCTTTGTTTCCTGTGCATGTAATCGCTTGGTACTAATGGATGAGTCTTTGCAACTTCTTCCTGCTGTTGAAACCCTTGATTTAAGTCGAAACAAGTTTGCGAAGGTGGATAATCTTCGGAAATGTGCCAGGTTGAAACTCTTGGACCTTGGATTCAATCAACTGCAAACCATTTCATCCTTTGGTGAGGTAGGAATCACTGGGATTGTTAGTATTGTATTCAAAAAGTCTTAAATGAGGGCATATATTAGTATTGTATTTTTCAATTGTAGATAGCTTGTTGTTTGCAGAATACTTTTGTTGATTTCCCCCATTTTCATTTTGTTTGTAATTGTACAATAGCCTGTACTACATTTTGTCAGAGTTCCATAGTTATTAGCAGTCGTTGATTTGCTTAAAACAAATTTTAAAGTTTTTTCATGCTATAGCCGAGAGAAGCTTATTAGGCTTTATGCATTAAGAAACACAATAAGGAAGTAATGAGCTCTACTATAAAGTCTGATGTTGTATCTTGAGCTAAAGTTGATGGCATCTGAATGTTGTTCCAACATCCTTTTCCTGTTTTGTTTAGAGGACAATGGTCTTTCTCACTCTTCCAAATGAGAATTTCAGAAAAGATTTTATATCAGTACCTGTTCTTTCTGGTTTGACTTGTCTGTTAGGGTCTGGGTTTTGGATTTCATACTTTTGTTCTGGTGTGGATGAGTTTGGGTTGTGTATTTTAACTGTTGAGTGCTGCGATATTTGCAAGCAAGTGGTTGGAATTCAGGAAAGTTTTGATACTATCAAGTAGCAAAGATTTGATACTCCCTTTCTATGTCTACCTATCACTTGTCTTATTAGTACCAAGTAGTGTGATAGTGTCATGCAACTTATTTTTATTGGTCTTCCATGTAGCATGGGTGGTCATCTCTCACCATCTTGTAACTACTAGTTCACAAGTGCTTGATGTTTTATATGAAAAAAGTATTAGCAAGCTGCTGTGTTGTTGAAGATTGTACTAGGAATTGCTGAACCTTTATGCTCACTTTACCAAGACAGAGGGAAATAGACTGAAAGATAGATTACCTTTTTGAATTTTTTCAGGTATAATGTAGTTGTTACTTTTGCTAAAATGTAAAATATTTTGATAACAAAATCATGTTTTTTTTTCTATCATATTACATCTTAGTCATTTGTTTGTTTTTGATGAATGTGATTTTTTTTATACCATTTGCTTTAGCTTTTTAATAACTTTTTGAGGAAGGCAAAAATAAGCAAAGAACAATAGCAGCAACCAAATGGAGCCTTATTTTGTAATGTAAGTGGTTTCAGTATCTTGGCCTCATCACACAAGAAGATGGAAGTTATTATGGAGATGTTAACAATACGATTTAATCAATGTGGCCTTGAATGTTGGGTACTTAAATGTCAATATGTGCAGAAAATGACGGTAGCAGCATGAGGCTTTTGAGATGAATGTGTATATATGAGAAAATGTAGATTAGATAAAGTTGCATGCATTTAGGAAAGGTGATGGTAGCACCTATCGGGAACAAATAATGGACACGTTTAAGATGGTTTGAACATTTGAGACATCGAAAGGAAGAAAGAGAGAGAGTAAATTAGATGTGAAAGAATCGTAGAAAGACCTTTCTCTTAGTGCTCGTACTCAAGTTATATGGTTTTAAGTAGAAGACAAAGGTCTAATTTGATCCTTTTACCTGACTTCACATGATAGGAGTTTTTGTTTTTTTTCATTGGTTGTTTTCTTGTGTTCTCCTTGAGTACTTTGGTTGTACCTCTTTTTGTTCTTTTTCATTGCACGTCTGTTTTTTCTTTTTTTTTTTTGTTAACTTAAAAAAGAATGAGCCCAGCATAAAACAAAGGGGCTTTCCAGTTAACTAAGGTGAGAAAATGGAAAATTTCACAATTTCTCTGTTTAAAATTTTACTTGTCAGGCATTTATTTTGCATTTTTTCTGGGCAAATATCTCTTTTGCTTAAGTTTCAAGTAACATGCTCTATGTCGGGTATGTTTTGCCTTTCTCAAACGTTCTCGTATAGGAATTGGCTTTGGATCTATACATCATTGTTGTTGGACAAATGCAGGTCTCCTGTCATGTTGTTAAACTTGTTTTGAGGAACAATGCTCTAACTACATTGCGTGGGATTGAGAATTTGAAGTCACTTGAAGGACTTGATGTTTCCTACAATATTATTTCCAATTTTTCAGAGTTGGAGTTCCTTGCTGGCCTTCCATCTCTACGAAGTGTGTGGTTGGAAGGGAATCCACTATGTGGTGCCCGATGGTATCGAGCACAAGTGTTCAGCTACTTCAGTCATCCAGAAAATGTAAGTCTTATAGGTATTCCTTAGCAGTTGGCATGTTTGTGTTGTTGAACTTCTATTCTTTCAATTTACATCACACTCTTTTCTGTATACATTTCATAATTCTGGTTTTTGTCTTGTTATTCTGCTAATCTTACAGTTCTCGTGATGTTCTGTTGTATGGTTGATTAGTTGAAGTTAGATGACAAGGAAATCAGCACCAGAGAGTATTGGAAGAGAAAAATTATTGTTGCCAGTAGACAGAAGCGACCTTCCAGCTTTGGGTTCTATTCTCCTGCAAAGGTTGATGCTGAAGGAGAGGGGGGTATCAACAAAAAGAGGGTGCGTAAAGTTTCCTCAATTCTTGAACTTGTATGTTGTTTTAACTTTACAGTCATCGATCCTCCCTCTCTCCTTGTGGTGAAATGGTTTTGGCACCCTGGTTAGTCTTTTAAAGGCATATTTTTTATGGTTATTTTTGGTAGTGAACGTCCTTCATATTTTATACCTTGTTTATCAGTGCTCATAGGTGGTTATTTCTTATTGCAGATAAAGGTGTCTCGACTTGCGTGCATTGAGGGTGAACGAGAGAGCACATATATTTGTTCTGATCTGGATTCTGTATCATGTGATAATGAAATTCAAAGCAGAGAGGAGAATATAATATCTGAGGATGAAGCTGAAATAGTTGATTTGATGAAAAGAGTAGAGCAATTGAAGAAAGAGCGCTCCATTCTTTGGTTGCGGGAGTTCAAGGACTGGATGGATCATGCTTCTGAGAATTTTGCAGATGATGTTGGGGCTAGGTTACATCTTGGAAAAGAAAATTATAAGAAAAGCGGGAAAAGTGAGAGGCATCTTAGTGAAAGTTCAAGATATGTTTCAGACTCGGTTCAAGCTTCGGGAGATGAAAGTAGCGTGAATTTCCTAGAATCTGATAATTCATTTGCAGATACATCTACTGGTGTGCATGCCCACAAATCCTTTGACCATATTGTTCCCTCAGGTATTACTGGTGGGGTCTCTCTACCAGGCTTGAGGACAGTGGATCTTAAACAGGAATATCAGAAATCTTACTTGCATGATGAGACTAGCAGTGGATCCATGCAAGCTGAGAGTTCTCATCGTAATTTTGTTACTGTCCAAGGAAGTAATAGGATGGTTGAAAATGCCAGTGTATCGCAGTTGAATACAATTAATGATATAACTGAGTCTAATTCTTCCTCTGCTTACCCTGGATCACCTCCTCATTATCAAGAGGACCTTTTGCATCGCCGCCACAATTTGGTGGAAGAAATTCTGCAGTTATCTGCAGATTCCTATTCAATGGCATCATCTGATAGTGATACCAGCTGTAGTGAAGATGATGACTGCGAAGTTGAGCTACCAGTCCAGGGACATCTCAATAGGAGTGTTGAAGGGCATTCTCCATCGGATCCTTTTGAGGATAATTACTATGAAAAAGGAAACAAGGTTTCAGATGGAAGTGAAAATGGCATCTGCTTCATTGATTCATGTGCTGAACAAACTTTGAACACCTCTAAAACTGTAAGTACAAACCAACCCCCGCAATTGTCTAATGCCTTAGATATAGGTTCTCATGATCTAGACATACCTTCTTTTACAAATCAAGAGGCTGATTGGTTGGAGAAGAGAAAAAGCAGAAGGAAAACAAAAAGAAGGGTGATTTCATTGCTGGAAGAGAATAATATGGTTGGCCGTAAGCAGGTGCCACAAGAATCAAATGGTAGTCTGGATGCTTGTGGGGCTGATATTGAAGACATGCAGGGGAAGCACTTTCTAAATGGGATTGATCAGAAAGATTTTGATAAAAATCAGATGAGGAAAAATCCAATTTCAACTCCTCTAATTGATGATGCAGCTAGATATTCTGATGCTAAATGCTCTTCTCAGGGGAAGAATGATTTTATTGTGGACTACTTCAATAAAAATGTTGCAGATTCGAGAGTTCATGAGACTTGTAGGCAATATATGCGTTGCAATTGTATACTTGACCATTCTGTCTGCAAAGAAAGGTAGGTATTAAAAAGGAGGTTGTAATTTGTTGTAATGAGACTTTTACAGTTTCCTTCTAGAGAATACGAAATGCCATCCATTGTATAAGATTAAAACCATTAATATTGAGTTTTGATTCACAAGAGAATTTTGTGTTAATATCTTCATCTGAAATGTTTTATGTGAAGTTATACCCATCATTTATCATTGTTTTATTCTTTTGTGGTTGTCTTTGCCCTTGCCAATGTGTTTTAATGAATTTGTCATTTTTAAATTAAAATTTTACTCTCTTTTTGGTATTAATCTTCATGGTTTTCTAATCTGTGATTTAGGATAGATGTAGTATCATGTGTTATTCCTTGATTGCCTGTAGTGAATTATAATATTTAAATTGGGCATTTCCGAAGTCGTCAATCTCGTATTGCTTGATTTTGTTTTAATGTTTTTCTTTTATTATTGATTGTGATTTTCGTAACCCTGCACTAACTGTGTCTTTCTTGTAAATGGAGAATTTGGCATTCTAAGTAATTTCCTTTTTTGATATCTTTCCATCTGCAGAGAAGTAGTTCTACTATTAAGCAGTGAGGAAAAGTTGTATGTGCTGCTTGTTGGTGTTGCATTTGATGGATCAGGTTGGATTATGAAGTAGTCTTTTGCATGAGTCATGCTTTTCTTGATTGTATTGGTGGTGATTTTTGAAATAATTTCTTCTGCTGATTGTCAAATATCATTGTGGTGTTGACTTATATTGGCTTTGCAGATACTATCCTGGATTTATTAGGTTGCCATAAGGTTGAAGATATAAGAGAAGTTTTAGTTGGTCTGGGTCTTCAAATTGTGAGGTTGGTGATTTATTATAATTCTATAGAAGTTGAGAAACTAATTGCTTCTCTAAAACTGTCTCTTCTTTCTATTCTTGGTTAGGGCTTACATTGAGGGGAGTGTAGCCTACTTGTTCATTACACGTAGCATCAAGAAATCAACTCGATTGCTTCAGACTTTGAAAGTTTTTGATTCATGTGCACCAAATGATAAATGTTCTTTAGGGAGGTGATTTCAATACTCTCTCTCAAACATGAAACCTATTGCTTAACTTATTATATGTAATCCCCTATCTAAGTTTATGTGACATAAATACCTTTCTTGAACTTCCAAAAATGAAGTTTATATTAGTTTTGTTTTCTTTATCTTTCTTCTACTTCTTGTTCTCTCTCTCTCTCTCTCTCTCTCTCTCTCTGATTTTTCCCAATGTCTGTGAATGTGGTTAAGTTGCATGCACTGATCGTAGAACAACTATAGGTCGACCATCTTATATCAAATGGAATGAGGAATGTAACCATTATTACTTTTGAACTTTATCATTTATTTTCTTTGTCATGGTAGATTGAGGTTTTGGAAATTTAAATGGCAGTTTGGAGAAGATGCAGGCTCAGTTATTTGAGAAAGAAATATGCGGAGGTTCAAAAGTAAGCATATTCCAGTATTCCATGGTGCTTTTTCAGCAAGGTGGCAATGAAGGTAGTTTCACCTAATTTCACCTTGGTTATCATTTGTTATATTTAATTTTCTTGTTATAATTCACATATTTCTTATAATTGTGGATGGAATTGGGAAGGTGCATGCTAATGAAATGTGAAAGGTAGAAAAACAAGTGGCAATAAAATGTAGAGTCAATTGTGAATTGTGCTTATTGTTAAAATTGTTGTGCTTTCAATTCCTGATAAACTTTTTTAGAATCCATGTCCCGCCAATTTCTCTGTTGGATCTGAATTTTTCCCTTTTGTGTCATGTTTGAATAAGGTATGGCTGGCATTGATATTATTGTTATTATTGTTATTGTTATTATTACTGTAATAAGGCTTGTAGTGCACAATTTATTAACCTTGTGTGCTTGCACATATGTCTAAAAAGGATTCAGAGGTTACCAATGAATATTGTTTGTTGCAGAGTGTGTGTGTGTGTGTGTGTGTGTTTGCATGTTTGTTAGAACTGTTGACTAACTTGTAGGACATGTGATAGTTTACCTTTTCTGAGAGCTAGAAGTAAAATCCCGTCAATTAGCGAGAAAGTATCTTGATAGTTTACAGTATTAGAATATGTTTAGATTATGTTTGCACGACTATCATTAATTTGCTTGCTGTGCATTCTATTGTTGTTGTGGATGCTGACTTCGGTGTTCCTGAGTGTACATACATTCATAAGAGAAAGTTTTGTTGTATGGTTATGTTTGGCAGTTTGTGTTCTTACTTTGGGATAATATGACACCACCTGATCTTTGCAAATTCATCTTCTTGCCTTGCACACCAACTCGTGTGGGAGTGCACAAGTATGCAAACACAAATCTTAGAGTTCTCAGTGCTTGGTTATGCTTAACCTTCTTCTATGTGATAACTGGACAGAGGAATCATGGCACTCAAGATCACTGTTTGTTGTTGGAGGACATGTGCTTGTGTGTGTTGAAGACATTATTCAGTTCAGCTCTCTCCCAAATGATGCAAGCTCCCCTCCATATTTCTCACTTGATTCATGCTGCAACATCACAGATGTATCTGAGATGGTAACTTTCCAAGCTTTCTAGTCTTGTGTTCTGCAACTTCTATATTATTTTTATTTTTAAGATGTTGCTTTAATAGTCCTCATATCAGTAGATGGTCATACCTCTCAGTTAATACTTGTTTGATGTTACGGAATAGTGATTCTCTATTAGAAGATCATGAAGAGTTTCCTCTAGTTGTTTTCCATGTTAAGTCATTGATACTTTTCAATCGATAGGTCTATTTATATGCAATATCTTCAGATTTATTTTGCTATTGTGGTTTTTCTTTGTTGTTGCTTTATCATCAATGCAGATGGGTTATTTGCTTGTTATGTTATTTTTCTTCTCTCCCTTGAAATTCATTAATTTTGTATATTTTTTATTTGTCCACTTGTAATTTTTTCTAATTAATGAATTATTAGGGCATTTATGGTTGGATTAAGTATTTTATGTTTGTGTCAGGGTTTAGGGAGTATGCTATATGTCTATGTTATTTCTATTTATAGGAGCTTTTGGTTTATTGGGACATTATGCATTGAGTAATGAAAATTTTTTGCCTGTCCCTTGGTTTTCTTTAGTTCCTCTCCCTTGTTTCTTCTATTTCTCATCTAAGTTTCTCAGTTTCTTCACTTTCTGTCTAATTTTATTTTTCATTCTTACTTTGTCTGTCCTTCCTCACCCTTGTTTTGCATCAATTAGGGAGACTGATGAAGAACAAGATCATGTTTATTGGAATTAAATTATGTAGGGATTATTTATTTTTAACAGTGTTTCTGCCCTTTGTCTTATTTTTCTCTATCTCTCTTTGCCTCTTCTTCCCTGCCCCTGTTTTGCATCAATTAGGGAGAGAATGATTAGGGATTAATATATATATATATATATATATATATTGGGTGCATTTGTAATTTTCAGTATTTAGAGAAGTTCTACCGCATTTAGGTTACATTTGGTATTTTGTGTTTATGTTAGGGTTACCGATTAGTCTACTACCATGTATGATCTTTTAGTTTCTGGTAGGTTTTAATAATGGATTATTGAGATTTTCCCTCTTGGTTCGGTCTTTTCTTTCTCCACTTTTCTGTATTTCTCTGAGAATTTTCATTCTTACTTTGTCTGTCCTTCCTCTCCCTTGTTTTGCATCGATTAGGGAGACTGATGCAGAACAAGATCATGTTTATTGGAAATAAATTATGTAGAGATTATTTATTTTTAACGGTGTTTCTGCCCTTTATGTCTTATTTTTCTCTATCTCTCTTTGTCTCTTCTTCCCCTGCCTTGTTTTGCATCAATTAGGGAGAGAATGATTGGAGATTAATATATATTTTTTTGGGTGCATTTGTAATTTTCAGTGTTTAGAGAATTTTTACCGCATTTAGGTTATATTTGGTATTTTGTGTTTATGTTAGGGTTACAGATTAGTCTATACCATCTATGATATTTTTAGCTTCTGGTAGCTTTTATTAATGGATTATTGAGATTTTCCCTCTTGGTTCTGTCTTTTCTTTCTCCACTTTGCTGTATTTCTCTGAGAATTTCTTTTAACCTTTCTATTAATTTCATTGTATTCTCTACCTTCTCATCTCCTTATGCTGCATAAGGGAGAGGAATGAGAGAGAAATGGAGATCAGAAAGAAATAGAGGGAAAGTTGAAGAAATTTAAGTAGAAATAGAGGAAATTGGGAAAGAAAGAGATGGAACCAAGGGAGAAACTCAAAAGTCCACAATCACAAGCGGCCAAAATCTAAAAATAACGCAAATATAGCCTTCTTCCAAAGCCCTAATGAAAATATTTATGCCCAATATCCTACAAGTGTTTGTAATCATTCCCTAAATACTAAAAATTGCATTGATCCATAAAATATTTTGAATTTAATTAAACAGATATCTGAATAGTCTAATCCTTCAGTAAGCATATTTTGTGCTGTATCACCTCCCTTGTAAATTGTGAGGGTTGTTCCTTATGGTCAAATAGGTACATTTAAATAGAACAAAGCGCATTGGGTAAACTGACCAGGTTGTTCCTCATGGTCAAATAGGTACATTTAAATAGAACAAAGCACATTGGGTAAACTGACCAATTGTAAAATCTCATAGTTGCTAGTGAATAGATATAATTGTGGTTGTTCCTTATAGTTGTGCATCTTCAACTCTCTGGAAGCTGTAACTTTAGAAGTCGTAAAAGTTAAGGTTTGAGATAACTTATTGGCCTTTGATCATGCAAGCATATTTAATGGAGGCTCTCTTTGGAGGTATTAGGAGTAGCAACGTTTTGTTCTGAAGTTGAATGCTCTAAGAATGGTTCTGCCTCATTTGGGAGCTTATTCTTGAACCTGGTTGCTATGTTCTTACACCATTGCCTTCTTTAAACGTCATGTGCAATTTTAGATTTACAGAAGTCAATTATTATGATATGATGTAGACTTTCCTTTCGTATTTGGACTAGAAATAAGATATGAATTCGGTAGTGGACCAGAATAAGAACCTCATCATGTATGTGAGCATATTCAGGGATTGGTTTCCCAGATGAGTAGGAGCAGAATAGATCTCTTTCTAGTTTTTATTCCATGACTTTCATCTTGGCTTTTAGAGGGATACTTCATGTCCATTCAGGATATACAGCATCATCTCTTTCTTTTTTGGGGGGCTTTTAATTTCAGTCTATATAGAAAGTGGATTATGTCTGCCATTGACATGCACAATTTTCATTGTGTTTTGATTTACGTGCTATCAGAGTCAGGAAGAGAATTAAAATCTGATTTCCGCTTTTAGGTCATTGAGGGAAGGGAAAGCCATTGTGTGACATTAGCTCTCGAGTGCACTACATCAGGGGCCTGCTCCTCAACGAAAGCGCAAAAGGAGGTTGCTACAAGTAATAAAGAAAAGAACATAGCAGGGGCTCGGAGGTGGAAACTGAAGTGGTTATCAGAAGAGAGTTTATTCCAGTTTGTGGCCTTGATGAAGGCGATCCACCTAGGGATGGCTTTATCTCCCTTGCTTGTAAGATGTGTATCATGAAAAGTTTTTAAGTTTTCGGTTTTGCACGTTTCTTATTCATTTCATTCTTTTGATTTGGGGCTTTCATTTGCTTGTTTCTTTCTTTTTTTTTTCTTTTGCTTTAAAATTTGCAATTTTGTTTGGTTGGCTACCATGGTGTGGCAAGTTGACAACTCTGTGTCAGTATTCTTTGATTTGTATTCTGTTTTAAGTTAAAACTTTCCCATGTACAGATTGTACAGTATAGAAAATGCATTGATGTTGAGTCATTTTTGGATGTTTTCTCAAGGGTAACATGTACAAGTTGCTTAGACCTTGGAGAGTGATTGTATTATAATACACCATTATTATGGTGCCTATATCCGGAAAATAAATGAGATTTTCATGTGTTTATGTCTAGCTGTGTCTAAGTGGCATTCAAGATCGAACCCAAAATAATTTATTCATAATGCTTGAGCTTTAGAATGACCCAATATGTCTAGTAATCCGATTCGAGAAAGACTCGATTATCTTTAATCTGGGTGGCTTTATCATATGCACCCAAAAGAAAGAACAGAAAAAATGCTTTATAAAAATGATTTCTTGTTGACCAGAAACTATTTGGTGTTGTCCAGTGATTGATTCTGGGTTCCCGTAGATAACATACACAAGCATTTTCCTTTTGCCCAACAGTTAACAACAAATGAGGCTAACTTCAGAGCATCCTCCTAAAATTACCATTTACAATGAGCCTCTCACCTTGATTCCTGTCAAAATTTAATGGGATATAAAATATAAAGAGCTTCAGTTAACCTGCTCTCCACTTGCTTGGCTCCTCTTCTCTTCCTCAACTTGTTCAAGCAATGCTTCCAGCTCAGCTTCAGTCAAACCTTCTAGACGTTTCTGCACAACGGTATGTAAGATTAAGTTTAGGCTCAAGGAGTCAGATTTTGGGATCCTAAACTCAATCAATTGCAACAACAACGGGATTCATGGAACAAAACACATAGGAGATATGGAAAGGTTATGCATGCTGATTGGGATATGGCTGGAAACTAAAGCCAATTTCTCATTTCTTTTTCCCCTTCTTCTCACTACCCAGACTAAGTCCTAGGCTAGCCATGACACCATCTTCCTTTATTCTGTATCAGTGAAGGTTCCGAGACTGTCTCATTGCAACTACTACTAGGCTTTGCTAATTTACATGTTGCTGAAGATTGATAGTTGTTAAATAGGCTGCCCCTGTGTGGCCGGGTGATGTGAAACAAAGTTCAGAATATTTCCAAGTGAAATATCACTGATCTAAGATTCCTCCAACCTAGGTTGGAACTATTTCAAATGTCAATTTCATAGCATCTGCTTCAAACAGGCAGATCCTCCATTAACAAACAATCTAAGATAATGTATTTTACTGAGCTATTGCGTTGATAATTTTACTATAGCCAAAACGCTGCATAGTTCTGAAGCATGATAAAGAAATAAAACTTCTTTGTGGCAAGATGAAACCAAATGCATAAGAAAGAGGAAAGCAATGTGGCAACGAGCAGAGCACCAATTTGGAAGATATTAGTCCTACAAATTGGAAGAGAAAAGTGTAGAGATGCAAACCTGCATGACTTTGTCTTCATAGTCACGTAATTGTTGAGCATATGTCATTTCCTTGTTTGAGACTCTGAAAATGTATGTTGAAATCCATCCAACTGTAAGGCCCAAAACCAATACCAACTGTACTACATTTCCTGCTTGTAAAGGATCAACGCCAGCAAACTGCATAACCATCATCACAGGGATTCTTACAGAAAGGAATTGCTCTCTAAACCATTTTGGTGCAAGGTACTCATCAATCATATTATAAGTTTTACAAAAAACTTGAGAAGATAAAGCAAAAATAGGGCGTCTAATTTTGTTATAAAACACACAAGCGTAAGGACGTCGATAAATGAATTAATTGAAATAATGTCTCATTTCTGTCACAAGGTATTGGATTTTGTTATTTCAAGAATAAAGAATAAAAGTAAGCATGCATGTAGAATAAATAGTGTGTCTAATTTTATTTCAAGAATAGAATTTTGCAAAAGAAGCCAAAGTTGAGAGCCAAAAGTAAGAATAAATATTACAAGTGAACCTGGATACCTCCAATCCACTTTTCAATCCAACCCCAGCAACAGTGACTCCAACACCAATCAATAAAACATCCTTCCTTGTGTATCCAAAAGGTGTCTGCCCAAGAACAAGCAGGATATGACTTCAGAATCCAACTCAACCATATGAACCCATAATGAAAGTTGAGGGTACTTAAGGAACCATACATTAGATCAAGCAGATTTAAATGAAGAAGGAGAAAGTGAGCAATCCTTTTCCTTAAATTAGGTGATCAGGTGTTTCTGATTTGTTAAACTAGCCTAATTGACACATTGTTCAAAGAGCTTCTTCCCTTTTGTAACGTTTTAAGGGTTAATTGTTTCAACTAACTAGTTTTAATACAATTTTAGGTAAGCTAACAATGCCTCGTCCAACATTTGTAGGTCTAAAAGGTCTAAAAACAGAAGACCTGATATATTCCTAATCTCAATGCATCTTATAAAACCTGTCTCTTTTCTTGTAAAGCAGCTAGAGGGCTAGCTTTACATGCATGATATAGGAAAAGATACGCGTTGAGCTATCAGTAGTATGGCGTACGTACCTTGCTTTGATCTTTACTTTCTTTGGAGTTTGAGGAACGGCTACATCTGGGAGCAACAGAGATCAGTTTCTTTGACCTTGAGTTGCTCAACCTGTTCTGCAGATATAAAGAAGTCCCCTTTTTATACAAGATCTGAGCTATAGCTGTACCTGAGAAATTTGACCAGAAAGAAACACAATCAAATAAGGCATTAGGTGTTGTTTTCTATACCAAGCATAGAAGTTTAAGTTCTATAGCAGGCTCTTTGATTGACATTGAATAGGACTCCAGAAACTAAAGGGGACTTCTTATGTTCCTTACAAAACAATCACCAGTAAAATTGCTTACTATGAACATAACTATTGTTTTATATGAAAAATGAAATAAAAATTCCAAAAGAAAAAATTATGAACTCTGTTAAACAGAGTCCTTCATCAAACCATATTAGTAAATTGCATTTGCATAGCTGCTTGGGTCAAATAAGTGCATGTAAAAAGGATAAAAAGAACTGATGAATAAAACTTCATGAACGGTGCTACTTAAAGAAAGATAAAACCATCATCTTTACAAAAAGTAAGAAATTAGAAAAAAGGATAAAACTGGTATGTGCATTATAAAATCAGTGGAAGGAGAAGTAATTTAGCATTGATGTTTCACAGTTTCACGGTGCAACTTTACTCTTAAGGAATGACAAGTGGAAGGAAATGTCAACAAATTTCAATCAACTGATAAACAAGCATTAGATCAACTAATACTTCTAGCAGAGTTATTGTTGCCAGAAAGAATTTTTTCGCGGACAAACTTTGAATTGTTTATCAAAATTATCAGTCTCAAAAAAGGATTCAAGTCTAAGGTTCAATAAAGCATGTTCCAAAGATGTGTTAGTATCTAACATAAAACCAATTGGTAATAGGTAGAGAAGCTTAACTTGAATACAAGGCCAGAAGGAAGTTAAAATATAATGGATTTGGGGTAAAATTAGGTCCAACAAAACCAATGAAACATAGAAACATTGCGAAAAACAAGAAAAGAAATGGGGAAATGAACAACCAAAGCTTCTATATTATGTTAAGCTTCAGACTTAAAAGCAAATAGTAATTGGTGGAGAAGCGCAACTTGACTATAGTGCCACAGCAAACCCCTTAATCAATATGGAACAATATTACATAACGAAATAGACCTTAAAAGGGAAATGAAAATTGTTTCCTATGTATGGCACAAACATAATGACTTAAACATATCATTAACCAACAGAACAGGAGCGTAATTCACCAGTGCTCAAGCTTGTTCAAGACAAAAAGTTCAGATGTGAAGAAGGAATCCATCAATAACAGCCAGGCAAATCAAGCATGAGGGTGCCTGGGGGCTGGGGGCAAATCCCAAAGAATGATTCAAACGAACACTTTATGAGAGGCCAATGATTATAAAGTTGCTACTGGGAACAGAACAGAAGTTTGCTCCAATAAAACAAAAAGAGTTACGCATAGAAAGCAAAAGCTGCATATGAATGACTCATGACAAGAGAAGAAATTACCCCGCAAGAAAGAAACAGTAGCTGATCGTGTTGGCAGTTGCAAGAACGGAAAAGCCGAAACACCCAGAAAAGAAGTGGGACTGACAGTTGGGTGTCCATGCAGAGGAGAAGACATCTCCGCAGTGTTCTTTTTCTGAGGAAAAAACAAGTAAAAAAATAAGAGAAACCAGCTCAGGTGAGTAATTGGATGACGAGAAAGCGGGTGGCTGGCAGTTAAGCGCCTTCTCTACTTACTATTTAATCCATTCGTCACTCCATGGTGCACGTGCATGCCACGTGCATTCTTCTTCCAAGGACTCTTCAAGCTTCGTGATTTTGATTTGCAGCTGTTTTTGGCTGTTTTCTTTTTGTTAAAAACAACTTATTACACATTTGGTGCTTGAATTATAATTAAATGCTCTATTTTATATCTATACTTTAAAAATTATAATTACGTATTTGAAATTTATTAGTCAAATGAGTGATATGTTAAAAAAGAGCTAATGAAAACTATTACTTGTCTAAAATAACACACCAATTTTGTTTATTTATTTTTTATTTTTCCAAATTTTAATTAAAAAATTAGAAAAAAAATAACGTGATGCTTTTAGGCACATGAGATGTTTTTATTGATTTTTTTAACACGTCATTTATTTGATTAATGGTGTTAATTTCGTGTGCAAAACTAATAAATAAAAATAAAATTTAAATACCTAATTTCAAATATGAAATTTAACATTTTACTATAGTTTAAGTTTTAAATGTGTAATTATTAACCTTATCATATATGTAAAGTTCATACGAACCACACTGACATGGCATTGAACATTAAGATAATTATAGCAAAGTTTCGTATAGAGAGTACCTATTATTAGGACATGTGCATATCATATCTCAAAAATATCTTGGATAATATTGCCCTCATTATTTTAGGACACATGCAGTGATAGGTGGCAATAGAGTTGCACATATTAAATTGACTTTATGATTAACAACCATTTAAAAGGATCAATAACAAACAAAAAAAGAAGCAAGTTTAATTGAGAAGCATGGGAAGTGGATGGATCTATATATAAATATAATGCTAGGAAATTTAAATTGGAGTAGGGGGATCATGAATAGT